ACGTGAAATTCAAAGTTCGCTCATCACTCCTGCATGCCAATACAAAAGATAGACACGTTTTATGTTTCTGCTAACACCTGCAGGCGGGCGGTAATGACTGGCTGAATGAGGGTAGAATAAACTAGAAATAAACTATGAATCTGCCTTCATTCTCTGTCCTCTCTCTCTCTCTCCCCACTGCTGCTGCTGCTGCCGCTGCTGCTGCTGCTGCTGCTGCTGCTGCTGCTGCTGCTGCTGCTGCTGCTGCTGCTGCTGCTGCTGCTGCTGCTGCTGCTGCTGCTGCTGCTGCTGCTGCTGCTGCTGCTGCTGCTGCTGCTGCTGCTGCTGCTGCTGCTGCTGCGTTCATCACTATAACAGCGAAACTCAATTAACCAGGAAATAAAGCACACGAAAAAAGAACAGACTTCTTGACCAGAACAAAACGCAAATGTCACAATGTAGTCCCATTAATAACCATTATAATCCCATTGGAAAATGTCCTTTATAATACGAACACATCCTCTAAGCAGGCAACACCAAACTCATTTCTACACTTTCGGCTAATTGAAACAAAGGCTGCAAAGTAGGAGGCACACGATTGAACTCCAATGCAAACGCCTTTCAGCATCACAAACAGCGACCTTCTGCCATGAATCGGAAGCAGAGTGCATAACTGACTAAAATATTTAATAACCGGAATGCCAGGCTTGTCAAACTCCTCAAGCTAAAATTCGTAATCGGAGTTCTAAATAAAAAAGGAACATAAAACAGAGTTCATCCGGCTTCCACAACCTCCGCTCATTGAAATGACGATCCCTCAAAATCAATGAGAACACTCAGTGACACGCGTCTGATAGTAACGCATTAAAGAAGGACACATGCAGTTATCTTCACATCGCCCCCTATATATAGAGGCAACATATCCTCCTAAAGGTCCACCGAATCACATCAGCACAACTACAAAAAACAGTGCAGTCAGTAGAAAATTCTAATTAGCCTAATTCCACCAAAAAACAGGTGTTCGTCATATCCCATGTCCCACGTCGGACTGACAGCAATCGACCATACAATATTCGATCGATTTCTAAAACCCCAAAAATAATGGAAGACAGAGGCCAGGACTGAACACACAAACACCAATAGGTCCAAACTAGCAACTATTTAGGGATACGGGACAAATCAATCAATCAATCCATAGCATGCATTTATACATATATATATATACATAAGACAAAATATATTCGGCACCAAGATGTTGGACAAATTCAGTGGGAGACATGGGCGACACGTATGTGCCATAAAGCCTTCCCCAAGAAAGAATTAAAACATTCAGAATAAACTTGCAGAAACCGTCAAGCGCGACTGGAACGACTACTTCCGGATTAGCAGCCATCATCAGCCAGCCAGCCAGCCAGCCAGCCAGCCATACCCAAACCCAGGCCTTTAAACCCCTCAGTCTCGAACCCACGCCCTGCTGATTTGAAGTCCAGTCCTCTAACTAACGAGCCAGGAACTCCTCGTCCTGTCCGTCGCAAACACCCAACTGGCTGATGACAACTACTAAGCCCGAAATGACTACCTCATTTTCCACCTGCTTTTGTCCGTAATCTCACTCTCAATATACTACTAACCGCTGCGCCGCTGCCTACGGAGCTTTAGATCCAGCCCCAAGGCACCACGGCGGGACCAGTGGGTCCCCTAACGCCATCGGTGAGCCTCCCTCTACACCGACCCACAGTTCGTCCGTCGATGTCGTCGATGACCACCGTGTGCCCCAGAGCTGCATCAACGGTGGGAGCAGGGACGGTGACTTACGCAGGGGTTTATAGTGTCAGTAGACTTGCGTAGCTTCTACCTACACTCTCTCCTCCTCCCCCGCCTGGGCCCGGTGTCAAGACAGAGTCAAGAAAACCGGAGACGTGGGAGGCCGGAGGTGGATGGCTCGGACGGATCCTCACCTTGGCGATCCACCACACCCCCTGGTCCACACAACAATAACCAGGATTTCAACCAACACAACAGAGATTTGGAGGCTGGCACGGCCGAAGCCGCACCTAGGCGTGCCGCCAACGCCTGGCTCGGATCCCATACTGTGGTGGGAATGCCATAAATGCCACATTAAAAAGGAGCCATTGCAGCCTGACTTTCAGACCGCCTCCCGTTAATGAGGAGGTCCAAGGTATCCCGTCAGTTGGCAACCTTCCAAGCCACGGCTTTTAGCGCACCGTGATAGCTTCAAGCGCGTCAGATTGATTATAGTGAGGAGAAAGTGCGCTGAGTCGTCGACCTCACTCTCCCTTCCCACTCCCACACCCCATCCACTGTCCGAGCCGGTCAGTAGACTGGAGTGGGGAATGGGCGCGGTGGCTGACAGGTCGACTGACCATGCCTGCGCGCGCCACAGCACAACCTGGCCCCCCATACACACAAACACCAGGATTCCACACAACGGGGGTAGAACGGCGTGTCTCCCACTTGCGTGAGAGGGCCGTGGAAGGTGCTGCTTCAACCCGTACCCAGCCCACCAGTCCGCCACTCCACACAACACACACACACACGACGTGACGAACTGCGTGAACCGAGAGCAGGCCTCAATCAGCAAGCTTCCTATCCACGACACTTGACGTGTCGGCATAGTCTCGGACACAAGCCACCCGTGCGGCCGAGGCCGCATGGGGACCGAGTCGAGATGCACACTTCCCACTTGCGTGGCAGGCGGCAGTTGAGTGCATGAGGTGTGTGGGGGTTAATGTCTGGTGGGGCGATGATGTTAGGAGGTAGGGAGTGAGGGAATGTGTGGTGTGACCGGCGGTTGTCTACCGCAGGTTGTCGTGGATGCGCATGTGGCCGAATAGACCCATGCGATGCGTGAAGGTGCGAGGGCAGTGTGTGCAGTGGAGGCGAGTGCGATGGGTGTAGGTTGGTGCTCCAGGCACTGGTTCGCCAGTCTCTGTGCGATGGATTCGCAAGTGACCGACCAGACCGATGCGTGAAGTGGAGGTGCGATCGCAGTGAGGGCAGATGTAGCCCTGGCCCTCACGTCTGATAATGGAGGTTGCAGGGCTTGTGCCTGTTGTTGTGTCAGGTGCGGCTGTGGTGAAGTCATGTGTTACAGACGCCGGAGTGGCCGTCGTTGTGGCAGTGATGAAGGAAGAGGAGGAGGAGGAGGAGGAAGGGGAGGAGTGAGGGGTGGTAAGGTCGGTGGCGTCGATGTCGGCTGGGGAGTGGTTAGTGGGTGCACAAGGTGGTGGATTGGGAGTGGGGCTCGGCGGGGTAGGTGTGTCAAGGCTGCGGTCAATTCCGCTCTCGTGGATGCGCATGTGGCCGAATAGACCCAAGCGATGAGTGAACTTGCCAGGGCATTGTGGGCAGTGGAGACGAGTGCGGGGGGGGTGTAGGTTGGTGCTCCAGGCACTGGTTCGCCAGTCTCTGTGCGATGGATTCGCAAGTGACCGACCAGGCCGATGTGTGAGGTGAAGGTGCGGTCACAGTGAGAGCAGGTGTAGTCCTGATCCTCATCAGTGGTATCGGGAGAGGTGGGAGAGGTGATGTCGATTGTTGTGTTTGGGTTGGTGATGTGTGAGACGGCAGTCTGAACGGCCGCCGCTGGGGCAGTGGAGGAGGATGGAAGTGGTGGTGCAGAAGGAGTGTCAGAGTTAGTTGGCGGCAG